AATATTCAGAGTATGTTTGTTTTGAAAGAAGGAAGTTATAATTTAAGGGGTTTTTGTAACTTCAAAACAGGGAAGGTCCGTACTACAAGAAAAAGCTTTTGTGTTTCTGTTCATGGAGTGAAACTGTGGAACAGTCTGAACAGTCAAAGAAAATCATGATGTGATAGTACAGGATATAGTATATTAGAAATCTGTTCACTATTGTATTACAAATTATATCAGTAAGGAAGCTGACTAAATATTGAATGATAATTTATAGGATCAAATAAGTGTGTACTTCTTCCCTTTCAACGTGTAAATGAATCAGAATGGTAGCAATATTGAAATGTTTAACAATTCAAGAGAAATTTTTTCTCTCTCTTACTTTCTTTTCTAAATGTACCTGTATATTGTTTACATGTTTGAAATAAATTAACAATCAATCAATCAATGATTGGTGTAATCAATCAGGTGATCGGCTCAGCTTTCTGTAAACTGACAGCTCTGTGCATCGATGTATCTCAGGGTCAAGAGTAAAACATAATGTTTTAAAATACATTTTAAATCTTTATCTGCTCATTTTGTTAGTATCAGTTCACTGTAAGAGTCACTTTCAAGCAGAAATTCCAAATAACTGTTTTAAACAGTTTTCCAAATCAGTTTTCACACACCTGACCCCGCTAGACCAAATTATTCATCTGTTCTTTAGAAAATGAGGAAATTATCCAGCACTACTGGCTTTAAAAGCCACTGTTTTCTAAATTTTGCTGCGTTTCCTGCTAAAAAAAAAAAAAAAGGTTTTCAATAGGATTAAATACAGTCTATTTAAAAAACACAATAAACTTCAGTTATTAAAGTGTTCTTTACAGGACAGATCATTAAAAGTGAGAGCAGAGACTATGTTCTTTAATATAAACCTCATGTTAACTGTACTATTATTCTTTGCTTGTTCTGTAATATAAAACTCAATAAACATAATGTTAAAAAAAGTGAGAGCAGAATCAACAACATATGGATTTAAAGAAGCTCAAAGAAAAAACAGTAGATATCAATGTGGGGGAAATACTGGAAGAACGAACAAAAATATTCTTTAAAAGAAAAAAAAGTGGTTATTTTTAGTAACTTAATACATTTAAAATGTTATTTTACTCTTAAATTGTCACTTCAAATTACAAAGTTACAAATGAATTCATTTAGCTTTTTGTAAGTATCTGTTATAAATGTGAGCAACTGCTGGAACATTTTATCCCTGAACTTTAGCTCCGTGAGGCAGCTAACTGTTAGCTCTGTACGAACTTGGCTAGCTGCTTTCTGGGTGGTTATTACTAATGAACAGACTCACCCGCAGCAAACAGGGTTTAAACGTCCACAGAAATAAATAGTAAGTCCCAAACAGCCAGTGCGGCTGTGTGTGGTCACAAAACGTTTGGCTTGGTGTTAAAAAGCAGTTTTGTTGTCAGCTGCAGCTAGCCGCGCTAACGGGCGCCTAAACTGGGTTACCTGGGCCGCCATGACTCTCTGCCTCTCCGCGATCAGTTTGCATTTGGGACACTGGCAGTCCCTCCAGTTGCAAAAGCGCTTGTGTCCCTTCAGTGGAGACACGTATCCGTGATTTCTACAGCGGGAACACTTGGGCATCCTGGGGGATTTCTTGGCTTTGGACGGGGACATCGGTCCGCTGCAATCCGGTACCTGCTTACTCTGTTTGTCCTGGCTCATGGGTCCTGGCAATAGTGACTAGAAGACGTGTGCACACGGACAGTTCTGCTGCTGCTGAGCCCAAGCAGAGGCTGGCTGATAAGATATGCACTGGTGCCAGGCTGGAGGCTGTAAGGTCACTGTCCTCCACACCCTGCTTTTTGGTTTTTTTTCGGAAGGCCTGGGATCCAGTGGGAGGAAACAATGCGGGGGAGAGAGCTGGAAGTACAGAAGCATCATTCTGCAGGCCTCCCATTTTTCTCTCTCCAGTCACAAGTTAAAAATATTGACTCAAAAACACAACTTAAAATTCAATACAATTCTTCTTATGAGGTGCAGGGACCAGAAAAGTGTCCTCAGAGGCCACCTGATGGCTTTGCAAAGTGAAAAAAGGCATACTCTTTGGACTTTAACTCAGTCTGTGCCAGCTTTGCAGTCTGAAGGACCAACGCGTGGGCCAAGGTAGCAGAATATAACCATGACTGTGTTATAATCTGAAGATTTAACTTAACTACGGTTCATGCCAATTATCCCCCAAATTAAATACAGGAAATTGTTCTGCCTGTCAAATTAAAATAACGATTACTATTAGTGTAATATTCTTTATAGTATCTTCCCACTGAAACATATTTATTGCAGTGTTTTCCCACCTTGGCTGCTGGTGAATTAATTAATTGCTCAGCTTGACTGAGCTGAAACTGAGCTGACCTCCGCACCGTCAGTCAGCCTGGTGGATTTATAGACAGGGAGTGAGGTGAAGCTCAGAGGCAGCCAATTAAAATCCTTACAGCCAAACAGAGGGGGGATAAAACAAAGTTGCCAATTAAAAAGCAGCCCCGAATCACTGAGTCAAAATAAATAGCTGCTACACTTCACTGGCTCAGGTCCTAAAGTAACTGAAAGCAGGGCTGCAACACTGCGTTTAATTGCCTCTAAAGGTTATAATGACAGATTATAATGCAGTGATAAAGTCTGCAGTTTAATGCAGGTAACATCTCCATTAGTCTGAATCCAGTCCAAGCAGGCCTGTAAAACACAGCAGACCAACATGGAAAACGTATGTGCCTATCACCCACCGCTTTATAATAAATATGAATAAATGCTGCCTCTCAGCAGCTCAGAGAGAGACACTTATTTTGAAATGATCATCAGTGTAAAATGAACAGTAGAGCCAATAAAAGCCAACTGTGTAATCCAGCCCCCACAATGATTGATGCTTTAAACTGAGTATACGATGCAACAAGAAGTAGGTATGAAGTTGGCTTTGAATACCTGTAGTTAGATCTCAGACCTTCTTTTTGCAATGTTTGTGTCCTAATAGAGGTTTGTTTGCATTGATGAAGCAGTGAAATGAAATGATGGCCACGCAAATAACCTTGTCTTTATATATTTAGTTTACCTGGGTGGACGCAAAGAGATGTCAAAACCAATTTGTGCTACTGAAAGTGAAGGCATATAAAGACTTTCTTTCATTTTCGACACTTTAGTCTCTGAAATGTTTCTGAAGCTTTCCGTGTGTAGTTCAAATGCTGCTTCACTGATATTATGTATTATATTGATATTTTCCCCCGTTGATACCTTTTAGCTACAACCATGAACTCAGTCTTCAATTTCTTTTGTACTCTCTATGCGCCAGTGTCTTTTTAATTATTTTCTTTTCATTCTTATTTTCTATGCATTTAGTTCTATTTGTGATTGCACAGTAACTGAATTTTAAGGGGAAATGATGACATATTAAACAGAATAGAAAGATATATTAGCTCTGCCACATGTAAAAGGCATGAAAGTCTTTTATTCCAGCATGGTATGTATTAAATTGTTATCAAGAAAATTTAAATCTCAGTCAATTCACAATCACGAATCAGGTTAAAGAAGAAGTCGTCACCGTTTCCGAGAAGTCACTGAAGGCAGCATTGCCTAGCAACGGTGCCGTTTAGTTTCTCGCGCCGGGCACCGGCTATCGACGGAAACTTTTAGCTAACTTTCTGTGAGACACAATGCCCAGAAAGACGGAGAGAAAAAACAGCGACAAACGAGATGGAAACAAGAAGACACCGAAAAAGGAAAACTCCGAGTTTCCTGCAGAGAAAAGCGGGTCTGGGGACAAAGAGAAGGACCTCTACCTGACACAGATAGCGTATTTAACCGACGAGCTGGAGCGGTGAGCCGTTTAAGTTTACCGTAATGTTTAGAGTGATTGTGTGTACAGTAAAAAGCACTTTGTAATGATATCTTAAGTATGTTTTATTTGCTAACTCGATCTAATGTCGCAGTAGCATAATGGAGGCTGAATTTACAAAGCTTCATTGAAATGAACTGATTTTACAAGCTACAGTGAGACGCTTCATGCTTTGGTGCGCTCAGATGATCCCGGGGTTCCTTCATG